ACACCTCGTTCACTGATCTGGCACCATGTGACTTCAGGGTCTTCTCCAAAGTCAAAATGACCATGAAAGGTAAATGTCTGCAATCCATTCAGGACATTTAGGCAGCCACAATAGCTCAATTAAAGACACTCAAGAAAGAGGACTTCCAGAACTGCTTCTGAAAGTGGCAGGAATGGTAGGTAACTGTTTGAAGTGAGGAAGACTACTTTGAGGGGGATTAATGGCGATGTGTCTTTTACTGTAATAATTTTTTAACAGGCATTTATCATTTTTTTATTACACTTATTAGTCTTACTGTGTTTTAGCTTGGGGGGGTGTACTTTCTTTTTTGATGATGTTTAAAAACTATTATTGTTTCCTAGAATTTCATGTTGTCATTCTTTAGTAAAAATGCAACCTATTTTCTCATACTCTGCCTATGAGTAAGTGCTCTGTTCCCTGAAATATCATTCATACATTTCCTGGGTAATTCGAGAAGGAACTCAAATCCTGATCTGAGACACCTTCTCCAGTTTGTCCTCTCTTAGTCCATGTTCAGCGTTCTTCTCTAGGTTCCCACACTGTATTTCTTAGCACAGCACATACTGTATACTTATTGTTGCTGTATCTGTCTATACTGTACACTACCAGCTCTGTTGTGACTTAAACTCTTTCTGTTTGCATTCCCAGCATCTAGCATTGGGTCTGGTAAAAGCATAAACAGTTGAATTGATGAGTAGTGCTAGAGTCATACTGGATCAAATCTTTGAAACCCTCTCTACTGCAGGAAAAGAACCTCTATTATAGGCTAAAACTTTAAACTAGAATGCCCTTGGGCTGGGGATTTAGCTTAATGGTTTTGCCGCCTGCTGCGCAAGTGCAAGGACCCAAGTTTGATCCTCGGTACCAAATAAACAAACAAACAAACAAACTAGAATGCCCTCTTTTTTGCAGTGATTTCCCTGATCCACTCAAGAAATCTCCCAAAGTTCCTGGGATCATAAGATTTTGAGGAAGTGAAGCATTTATAAGAATGACTCCTCTCCATTTTGTCTTTCTTTTTGTCTTTCTTGACATTTACGTCCTGTATGTGATCAGAAATTTGTAAATGAACTGTTCATGATAATGAGCCATTCTTAATACAGTACTGATTGAACACCTTTCTCAAAGAAGGTCACAGTGCTTTACATACATTATCAAATTGTCTTCAGAACATATTTGTATCACAGTGACCACCCATTCAGAATTCATCACGGTCTGACAGTACAGGTCTCTATGAAATAGATCTGCACCCCACCTTGGGCCTGACAAAGACCAAAATAGAGTTTAAGCATATAGTGACAATAGCTGCTTTATCACTACTGCTATTGCTTCCGTGAGCCTTCTAGTCTTAGGTCAGAAACTGAGCAGCTGTAAGAAAAGAAAGACTGAAGTCTTACTACAGTCGTAAAGTTATAGAGATAAAATGTTATGGGAGTTTAGAGGAAGGAAAGGTTACTTTCAGCTAACAGGATATTGCCTAAATCTTCAAACAAGTATATGTGTAGCTCCTTCAGTGAGTGAAACCTGCAGTTCTTAATTGAAGACCCATATGTCCCAGGCCCATGTTGGACATTTTGTGGAGAAGCAATGTGATATAAAGGAGTCATCACTGGATTAAGAGAAGGGAGATTAGCTTTCTGATCCCAACTCTATCATTAACCAGCTGTGTGTCCTTAGTCGAGCCGTGTATTCCCTCCAGACCTATAAACTGAGAGCACTGGACTATGATTTCCAGAGCCCTTTTTCAGCTTTAGTGTAGAATGATGCTGCCATTGTCACTCTTAGATTTTCTCTTCCAGTCAGCTATATTCTTCACAGATAAACTCAAATGCTCATGTCTTCTGTTTGTGCTCTTCTTCCGATGTTTGTCAACAGCTTTTTTTTTTAGTATATGCAAATTAACCACTACAATAGCCTATTACTTCCCTAAGGGGAACAGCCATATTCATTTCATTTTTGTGTTCCATAGGTAACATGGATGCACTTACCTCCTCTTTCATATATATTTAATCTGTGAATTTGATCTGACTTTTTAGTCATATAACTCTAACAGAAAGATGCCACCTACCATTCTGTGTTTCCATCTTCCATTGATCTTACTATATTTCCCCTGCACAACTAATTTTCTCAAGATAGTAGTCTTGATTCAGCATATACACTGTTGCCCTCTTGCATGGCTCCTTCACTCCCTACAGTCTGGAATTCTGGCCCCAACACTCCACAGGAGCTGCTTTGATAAATTCCTTAAGGAATGTTTTTACTTGCCAGATTCAAAAAGGTACTTTGGCATTTTCATCATAGCCTCTAACAGCACCTACTCTGACCATCCCCTTGTTCTGGAAACTCCCAAACTCTTGCTACTGTGGAACTCATTGCTCCTAATTCTGCCCCTTTGTTCTATCCTCTGTAGACACTTTTTTCCTCATCTTCTCCATGGTTCTGTCATCAGCTCTTGGTTCTTTTCACTCAGTTCCCTCTTTGACAGCTTCACTGATGCCTGAGACTTCCACTGTCACCTCCCACAGTAGGCTGTAGAGCCCTGGCCCCTGTCTCAAGCTTCAGCCCCACACTTCCAGCTGTTCTCCACATCACAGTCACATTGAATTTAGCATGTCCAGACCTGCACACATTAGCCTCCTCCAAAATTACTTGGTCTTGGTTCCCTGTTTGGGCAGTGCTTCCCATAGTTTATCTAGTGGTCCAGACCTGGAGTTCTCCTCCCTCATCCCCATAATCACCAGGTACCACTGAAGTTTATATCTCTACCAAGGTACCTGAACTGTTTCCAGTATCCTCCTAGTTGTTCTCCCTGCCTTCTGTGTGTCTTTTATAATCCATCCTTCATGTTTATCCAAAGTGACCTTCCTAGACTAAAAAATTGATATTATTGCCTTTGCTCCTTAAATCTTTTATACCATGAACTTCTGAGAAAGTTTCAGTTCCTTGGCTCAAAAACCTTAACACCTGGATAGTGACCACCTCTCCGTCCCTTTTTCATGCACATGATGCACTTCTTAGGGGAAGAACTGTGCTCTCTCTCAACTCTGTATCTCTGCATGGGATATCCTGTGAGTTTCATATGTCATTCCTTTTCCTCTAGTGCCATGTCCAAGAACTGAAGCTGTAGCACTCTTGCTAGGAAACCTTTGCCTTCCTCACCAGGCAGAATTGAGTGCCTGCACTCCAGGCTCCCAGAAGCTTTGTCTTGCCACTCCCTGTCACTTGCTTGTTGCTCAGCTGCCTGTTTGCAGCAGTGTCTCCCCAAACACACAGTGAGTGCCTGAAGGAGAGGAGCTTCCTCGGCTGGCCGTTGTTCACAGGCCTTAGCCTAGAGCCTGACATATGACAGCTATTTATTTCCATGTTTGCTAAATGGATAAACAGATGCATGCTGACTGGTAGAAGGATACCTTACTCAAAGACTCTATTGTTCTTCTCCAAACATTTTATTTTGTCCTTCTCTCTTAATACTATAGACTAGAAAAAAAAATACTATAGAATAGAGGCCACATTCCTCAGTCCAATCAAGGGTTTTCACAGTGTACTTCTGCCAGCTTCTAAAGGTATATTTTCCACTTTTCTCTGAAAAGACTGGCCAGTTAGGACCCCACACATTCCATCCCTATTGTAGTCTCTGCTCCACAAATTGAGTATCTGAATGAATAAAGTGGGAAGTTGCAGACTTGCTATCTCAAGGCCTGTGTTCTATACAAAAAAGCATCATGCTTTTTTAGGGGAATCAAAGGAGCTCTGAATTATTTAGCCTCATCCTCCCTGTCTCTTCTTCCTCTTGTGTTCTAAAGACCCTGGCAGGCATTAGGTACACATGGTCTGCCTGATAATAATTTCCTATCATATAAGTGCCAGAGCAAGTACCAGTCCCTTTTCATTTAAATTAGATAAAACCCTGAGCTGTGACTTGCAAGAGATGGAAGTCCACTGGGGAAATTAAAGGTTCAGGGAGAATGGGACCCGTTATAATAAAAGCATTTGCACAGCCAGTGATTCCATCCACCCTGTAGCTGTCTATGTTCCTTAGGGTGTGATGAAATATGAAGCCAGAGGACCTTTGAAAGTAGTGTCAAGAATTTATTTTAATTGTAAATGGTGGTAGCATTATGTGCTAGGAGTAAACTCTGTGGATTGTGCACAGTGGTGCATTTGGCATTATATAAATAGCCATGGAGCATTCAGGTCTACCATGATTCAGGATCTCCACCTAATCTGTTTCAAGTTCTTTCTGCTCCTGTATATGTACTGATCATGATCATAAGGCCCATGTCTCCCTTCCACCATCCCTCCCTCTTTCTTTTTTCCTTCCCTCCATACTATCAGTGGCTGTACATTCCTATTCTATATTTAGCATTTAGTAAAAATGACATATTGACACCTAGGTCAGTCAACTGCTGGTCCTTCAAATCACTTATAACTATGAGACCTAAGAAAAATTTATAAAACAGACATCTAGAATGGCCAGAAGAGAAACAAAAATCCACATTTAAATGTGTAGTAAAACAAATTTTTTCAGCATCCTTAGGCACTGCTTATGTTTGAAGCACTTTCTCATTTAACTCTTCTGTGCAAGTGTTATCTCCTTCTTACAGATGAGAAGACTGAAGCTCAGAGAAGTTAAGACACTTGCCCAAGATCACATAGCTGTAATGAATGGCAAAACTAGATATATCTCCAATATAAAGGCAGAAACCATGTTGAGTGGCAGAGCCAGGTTTTGAACTCAAGCTTGACTCCAAAGCCCAAGATATAAAGCACTGTGTTACAGTGTCTCTGACTCAAAAGGGTTATACTGCTGAATATAAAACTCAAGCTTGGTCTTCAACATAGACAATTTTACCTGGGAGAAGTCTTCTTACTATTTGTGCGCTCTTGTAATAACAGCAGTACTGAAATAGTGTCACATTTCTGAAACTGGTTTTACAGTTGTTCAATCTGCCTTTACTTTCTCACTTTTGTGTTTTTAGATGCATCATCCCATTCAGATGAAACCTGCAGATAGTGAAAAGTCAAACGGTAGGTGCTAACCAACTGTCTCATAAAATATCTACTTCTTTAAATTAAAAACTCAGTTGGGGGAGGGATATAACTCAGTGGAAGAGCACCTGCCTAGCATGCAAGAGGATCTGTGGGTTAGATCCCCAGCACTTTAAAAACAAAAGTCAGATGGGGAAGGGAAGAGCCAGCCCCAGCTTCTTTTTCTTTCTGGAAGGTGGAGACTGCTGTCCCAGGAACCTTCTACTGTGATCAGCACAATCAATTCTCTTGTCTCACTTATCTCTACTATAAAGATCTGAGAGACTGTTACAAGGAATGGTTTCCATGTCTCACTGCTTGGAGGTTGCCTGGTGCAAGGTCCTGTAGCATCTGGCTCTTGTCTATCTCCCCCAGCATAATATATGGCTACCTGATGGGTGGGAAGAGAACATAAGCAAGAAAGGAATTGTACATTAAGAATGAGGCTACCTTTTTTTTTCCTTTTCCATTTGCCCTGATTGTTTTATTGCACTCTTCTTTAAATTGTACCAATACATTTGCATCAGAATTCAGCCTGCTAATTAAGTAACTGTACATTTGCTCCAAAAATATGCATTTGATATGATCCATGATATAACTAGGATTTGCCTCTCAAAGGCATTGGAGGATTGGGAGCCCACATTGCTCTAAGTTTTTGCTTCCATTTCTATAAGCCTTCTGTCCTTGTTTTGTTCTTTTAATTTACTGAAATGTATGTTAAAAGAATTGCCTGCCACCTTAGACCACAGAGCTACTCTGTCCCACAAGACTGACATAATCAGCACTGTTTCCTTCCAGCAGGCAGTTTTGCACCTCATTAATTAGTAATCAGGGCAGAAGCCATGCACTTAGAGATCTGCATATCTGCAAATGTAAATTATGATTGGGCTCTAAATCTCACCACAAGGTATTTTTTGCTAACTGTAGTGCATCCCATTTTCTAGCTTCTTCACAGACTAGAAAGTTTTGAAGAAAATTCCAAGTTGCATGATACTGCTAGCACTTGGTTTGTCAGGACTTTCCTCTCAGGGAGCAGACTCCAGTGCTTTCCCCACTGCATTCTCAGGCTTGTACTTTCCATAGTGTGATTTCCCTTTTGCCTATACTGCTTTATCACAAACATGCCATTTAGTGTCAAAAGTTCTAAGATCTGCCACTTCTTTGTTATAAAATCAGATCAAGTTGCTTCACTTCTTAACCAGTTATTCACTGATAACTTACTTTATGCCAGCCACATTCTAGGGGCTGAGGTGCAGCAATAAAGTAAAAAAGGAGAATTAAAAAAAAAAAAAGACTGCCAGAGACTATGTCCCTGACCTCATGGAACTAACTTATATTCAGTCTATTAATTTAAACACCTAATAGTCACTTAAACATGGAACTCATTTATAAAATGGAACTAGTGGTAACTGCCTCACATGGATTGGCTGTTTTGTTTTTTCCCCTTCCTGAGACTCAAGTAAAATATTTGTACCAGTCTTTAAATGATAGAGCACTTGTGTAAAATGTTAATTATATTATTACTGCACAGAGATCTTCCCCTGGTTTTATAGGTTCCTTGTGACCTAATGGCAACTTAAGTGAAAGACCATTTCCTGTGCTCATTACTTGAGCTCTTTTTCCCCAGAGGTGCCTACAGTTGGTCTTATTTCTTAACAGGAGAGAGGAGAGACAAATCTTGTATTTGTAGGGTGAATCCTATCAGTGAAGGTTTACTCAGAGCTTCTGACCACCAAGAGATGCTCCCTGTCCTTGGACTCATAATTCTTTCAACTGTGTCCAGACAAGGGCCATGAAATGAAAGTCAGTGGAAAAACATTTGTCTTCTGAGCATTAGGATGTATTTATAAAAACATGATGAGTTAGAGAACTGAATTGAAAACATATGATTTAAAATATCCAAATAGTTGAAACATGAAGCAGTGTCTTCTTTTGCATTTTCTCCTGAATGTATATATACTCTGACTTAGGAATCCTTTCCATAGGCAAGCTGCCAAGGCATTTTGCTCTGTTTTGTTGTCTCACTGTCCAGTGTCTACACTAAGATGTTTGCTTGAGGTCTAGAACCAAGCACAGCAACAGAATAAAACTACCATGCTGCGGATGCCCCCAGTTTTACATGATCTCAAAAGCCAAGGAGGATTGGGTACTGTTATTACTAGATTCTTAAAAGGGCCTAAAAATGCCCCTTTTTAGGAAGCAGAATGGGGTAGCAATTAATAACTATTTTGAGAAGTCTAGGTTGACTCCTGACTCTGAGCTTATTGGTTGTGTCCTTCAGCAAGATACTTTACCTTACTCAGCCTCAACATCTCAGTTGTAAGAGGGGACTACAGTAGAGTAGCACAAACTCTTTTTGTAATATCTGCCTTACATGGTTGGTTAAGGATTACATAAGTTAACATCTGTAAAGAGCTTAACATATACCTGGCATGTGGTAAATATTCAGTAGGCTAAGATGTGATAAACTAACAGCATAATTCACCAACCTAGAGAGATGTTTTGGTACCTGCTAAGTGACAGAGGCCTTCTAATAGGGCCATTTCTTCCTTTGCTTTATAGATTGACTTTCATTTTCTGAATTTCTAGCAAAAAGCGTAAATGGAAAGCTATCTTTCAAGAGTCTTCTTTGTAGAGGCTCAAATGGAACTTCACCTTGCATAGGGATGAACAGGTTTCATGGTTCTCTTTGGATCTGATTTAGGAATCAGAAGAAATGTATAATTTTCTAAAGCAAGTGGTAAAACCTGCAGCTCTTTCTGATTCCACAAGGCATTTTTGACAGGTAAGCACAGTTTCAAATGCTCAAAGAGCACAGAGATTTCTTTGGCTTGGATGCTCTAAATAGCTCCTATAGCTGTGAAAGAAATATAACGAGCTCTAATTGCACTTTTATTGAGTTTGCTGACATTTATGCATAGCATAAAGGACTCATCACAGTTAGACAGTTACTGTCTTCATTATCTGTGTGTTCAGATTTCTGAAACTTTATATTTGCTGAGCAAGAAAGGGCTGCTAATCACAGATCAATTAGTGATGGACAAATGAATTCCTGAAATGCAATCACTCTCTGAAGCCCTAACCAATCTAGAGATTCTAATAAAGAACCTCTGTGGTGAGACCAGAATTGTTAGATTGCTCTTAGATCAACCCTGCGCTTTCAGATTGTACTGAATGGGCTTCCTTAACTCTCTGTGCCTTCCTATAGCCTGCCCTTTCAATTGGCTCTGATTTAAGCTGCAGCCTCTATCACATCTATGCAAACTCACAGCATTTTATTTCTCTCCCACGTGCTTCTACTGTGCCAGATTCTAAAAGAAAAAACAAAAAAAAAAATCCCGTTCTAGATAAGCAATAAAATATCAGGGCTCTTAAGAGCACATTGAAATACCCCACTGTCAACAAAATCCAACCTTTTTGCTATTATTCCACTGCAGAAAATTGAGTGATGGTACAAGAAGGGCATTTGAGAAGGTATAGATTTAGGATACTCACATTAACTAGCACAAACATAGTTATGCTTTCATTCTGGGTTCCATATATATACTATTCTGTGCACCATCCAGCTTTTAATCCTCTATAGAAAGTGCCAGCTGTGCAAGATTTAAAAGCAATTGCTGAAGGTAGTCTAGTAGTGTGGTATCGGAAAAGCATTGAGATTGCCTCTGGTTGTATACATGGGTCTTAGTGGCTGGAGCCAGTATTGACTGTTACGTCATGCTTCTTGTTGCAAGGAGGATTGTTTTTACCAATACATGGGGCATATAAATCCTTCCTGCTTTAACCTTCCAACTTCACAACTTGCCAAGTGTCCTAAAAGCCTAGAATCCAGAAATGCTGTTTAAGACCACTGTCTCTCTTTTCTCAAGGCCTCCAAAATCTCTAATATTCATGTGTCAAGTTATGAGCTAACAGAGGCAAGATACCCAAATATTGTTCATGGTAGATGGAGACCTGCAAAGCCTTCATTAAAAATAGGAATCATGGAGTGTTTCCAAATTCATTCACTTTCTCATTTACTGGAAGATGAAGAAATAATTTTGAAATTCAAAGTGGAGCAACTCACAGATATGGAGGCAGTAATTAAATGCCATATGTTAGCACTAACACATTGAAAAGTTGTTAATTAATTCAGGCAGTCCCAAATCCAGGTGTGACTTTGACAGATTGTACACAAGGGTGTTAGCACAGACTTACAATTAAGGATATTTTAAAAATGAAATTTCTATTCCTCTAAGTTAAAAAGTCACCCTTATACTTAAAATATTAACCCTTTCTTATTCCATAAGAGGAGAACTGTAAGTGGCCACTAGTGTGGAACTCCTTGGTTCGGTTGAAGCTATTAATAGAAGAAACCGGATGTGCATCTTTTCTCCCCGGAGGCAGGAACCTTAACTTTTAATTCTTTTTTTTTTCTTTTATTCCCCTAAAGCACCTAGCAGACTCCTACCAGTACAGTAGATTCACTTAAGCAATCCACATTTTCATAGATTGAAAAAAATGAGATACTTACTGCCCATGAATACTCAAGAAAAACTAACCAACAAAGTCATCAAAAAGTGATGAAAAAGTTAAGTGAATTCAAGATACTTATATTTATTTAGAATGTTTACAAAACTGTTAAGAATTCTTAGAACAAGAATCCTAGGAATAAACTTCATGAATAAATTTTCCCTGGACAGCAGGGAAAACTCAAAGGAGAAGAAAGCAGGATAAGTATAGTCACCCTCGATGTTGCTATTAAAGCAATTATGATCCAAGTTTAAGGCAACAGAGCAACTTTGGCTAGTGAAAGATTGAGAATGTCCAGCTTCCTTTATGCCTGCACATGTACGTGAGCCCACCCAGGCACAGGAAGAAATTAGCATTTCAAATAACATGATTGATATGTTTCCTTTTTTTTGTCTTTAGCTAATACTTGTTATTTTTTAAAACATGAATTATCTTCCTTCTGCCAGGCTGAGTTTATCCTTATTGATGGCTGGGAAGTCAGGATTTCCTCATAAGTGGTATCCATTTTCTTAATATCCACCTTAGGAAAAAAATATCATTTTTTAACTTACTCAGGAGCTATATATTTAATTTACTGTAGCATTACCCTGGAGCTCAAAAACCTGTGAATTCTTTTAGCTAAACACCATAATTATAGGGTTACCCAAGAAATTAGGGATCAAGTGGGAATTTTTCATTTGCATTTACTTAAAAGAACTAAAAACAAGTCTTTTCGAGGTAAGAATAAATACAACAGGAATTTTATTTTATTCTCATAAAGATGTCAGCCATAGTTTCTGGAGATAGGAGTCTTAGAGATGAGAAGGAAGGAGGAGTAAGATCAGCAAACTAGAAGTCTTTCCCACCCTCTTTTGCCTCATTTCAGTCAGTTCCATTCATTTCCCTCTCCCTGTCCCTTTCAAGTAAATGCCACATCCTCGTAGGGCCTGCCTGACCACAAGCCTCCTGTGTGAAGGCGGCCAGGCACCATGGATAGGCTGTGGTCATCCTGATGTTGGAGACCACAGAAAAGAAAGACCCTAGCCAGGGATTCTGAAACTTAGCTGTGCCATGCTGCCTTTTGACTGCTAGGTTCTTGCCAGTTCAGAATAGATCCTTGGTACCTCATTTATTGAAGGTAGTTTCATTTATGCAGTACAGAGAACTTTGACTGGAAATCTTTCATCAAAATGCAGAAAGTCAGGTACACAGCCATCTCCCTCCAAAGATTTAGAGTCCAGCACACTGTTGTTTGGTTTACTTCAAATCTCAGCATAAGCAATGACCTTTGACAGCCTGTTGTTTCCCCTAGTCAATGATCTGCTCCTCTGCAGATGAAGAAGCAAACAGTGCTTGCCATATTCAGTTCAAGTTGTTTTCCTCTGCCTACCCTAAATACAATCCTCTTATTTCTCAGTGTTATTTGCCTTGCCTAGTTAGTACCTTCTACCCTCCCACTACCAGTCTACCCAGATCCTGACCATGCTTCTTCAGGTCCAGCTTCAGGACCCCAGAAGAGCCCTAGAGTTTCTCTGCATTATCTAAGGAACTTCACTGAGTGTGGAGAGAGACTGAGTGGAAGGGATTCTGCACACCACTCCAGCTGTCCCCACCCGCAAGTGCTTCAGTGGACAGATGCATGGTGCTGGGCTGCCTTCTCTGCAGTGTTTGGGAGAAAAAGAAAAAAGAAAAGAGTGTAAACACTCATCATATCAGTGACAAAAATGAGGCCCTGGGAGTCAGTAAGTTCTCCAAGGTCACACATCAAGTTAATAGCAGCCCTGGATCTAGAACCCAGATCTTACCACCAATGCTACTCTCCCCTTTAAGCCTCCTGTTTCCTCTAAACTGGCAGAAACACAATAGTCAGAAAAGAACACTGAGTGTGGAAGTAGGAAGTCAGCTGTGGTCCAGGTTAGACCACATTTTGCTGAATGATCTAGCCAAATCCCTTTCCTTTGCCAAGGCTTCAGGGATCTCTTTTACAAATAGACAGAATGGTTCTCAAGTCTCTTATTTCCAGTCTAGAATTCTGGGACAGAACATTTAGCTGACTCAGTTAGTTCTTCAAAGCTGTACTGCCTAATCTAGTTACCTGGGACTTCTAAAACTTAAATTAATTAAAATGAAGTTACAGGGCCAGGGATTTAGCTCAGTGGTGCCACCGCCTGCTTCGCAAGCGCAAGGTCCCGAGTTTGATCCCAGGAACCAAAAAAAAAACCTGACGTTACATTCAAAAATCAATTCCTCCATCACATTAGCTCCTTTAAAGTGATCCACAACCAACATGTGGCTTTAGCTATATATTGACAGTACAGACATAGGATTCTTCCAACTCTGGAAGAGATGCTTGTGGATTAAATGACAATGAGACATTATCCAAAAAGGACTAGCTAGGACTCTGTAGTCTCTGGAGCAGCTGGCTATCCTTTTTTTTTTTTTTTTTTTAATTCTAAGAAATGGATTAAAATGAAGAAATAGAGAGAAAAAAAAGGACTTCTCCCCACTGGTATCTATGACATCC